TTAGACAACCTAATATTTCCACATTCTGGTTCATCAGCATGGTTGACAACTGCTAAGTGGGGGTGGGGTGGGGCGGACAGGTAGCATTTGAATGTTTCAAAACGCTTTTAAGCCATTGAAAACGACGGCTTTGTCGAAACGTTAGGCTAATAAACATTCCACCATCCAAAACCTGTTTGGCAACAATACTCGAAAGAATTGTCAGTAGCTCGGATGATCAAAGATAGGGTAGAAACGCAGAATGCTGCACAGCATTCAGTAGAATGTCACTAAGCCATAGCAGTAAAATGGATTCGCCTCTCCATCGCGTACATATGTTGTTTTGATGTAGGCACACATGCGCAGATTAATCCACTTATATATTATTTGATTTGCTCTAGTGTAAACCGTGTGACTTTCTGTAAATACTGAAATCACGTCCTCGGGGCTGATAAATACAAAATCTCAAGTGTCTGAGGGATTTGATGTATTTGGGGGTTGTGTAAAGAATACGATAAAATATGCTTTATGCAGCGAATGGAATGTATGCTTTATAATAGTGAGTGCATCTAGTTACATGTATCACGCACTCGTATTTCTTATGATGTCCATGACAAAGTTAGTTTTGAAGAAAAATAGTCCTGCAACAGTTTGCGGATGATCAAAACCTAGGTGGAAGTCCATTGAGCGATTTGTGTTAGAATGCTTTATTTAAATAAAATAGCGCGTGTTTGTTTAAGTGAACTATATTCTATTTTTTCAGCTACAACGAGATATATTCATTGCGACAATTGCAATAAGTTGTATGCCGGCAACATAATAGAGGAAAGTTCTAAACAGTGGACAGTGAAAATCGAACAGAGAAGGAGTCCTCCGTACCCGAGCCAAGTTAGTTTGATGTTGTCACCTTAACCCTCTTACTTGGCTGATAAATACGCTGTTTTTTTCTAAAGTAGGAGATATCCTCGCACAGGTTCTGTATTCTTGGGATAGTATTAATTATCCTGGCCCATTTTCTGGTTCTTGATTCCTCCCACTCCATGCATAATGTATTCCAGCGGCTGCATGCAGCATTTCCGCGGTCGAAGATATGGGTCGGGAATTCTCCTCTGAATGTTTTTCTTCAACTAGGTATGCATCTTCTTCCCTATCCATATGGGAAGAGCTGCATTTGGTCTCAGAACCAGTGAAGTGGTAGGCGTACGCTAAAGGCCATTCTCCACCGTCTGCTTTTCTTGGCATTTTAAAAGTATACTTTTTCATTCCCTTGAAGTGCAGCTATTATTACTTCGGAGTTCGATGAATTTTTTATTCTGGTACAGCGCCATATGTAGTAGTTGTTCTTTTTTGTCGGAAAATTGAGCTAGGGTTTTGTTTCTTTTCGTAGAGCTCAACTGCTATGAGAAATGTGAATAATTTTGTAAAATATAAGATTTTCCCGTAGCGTTTTCTCTTTTTATTCCGCTTCACGTTATCTTCCTTGCAGATAGCCGAATATCTCGATCGTTTTGTGGTAGGACAAAAGCAGGCTAAGAAGACACTTGCGGTCGGTGTGTATCAACACTACAGACGGCTCGAACATAATATTGAGAGTGGAGCTGCTTCTATTCATCAAATCAAAGAGGACGTGAAAAATACCCCAAGAGGAGTTTTATATCAAGTAGGCGTAAATTCGACGATTTTGATTTTTTTTTTTTTTTTTTTAGCTTTCGGTTTTTTCATATCTTCCGTAGTACCCTATGAAGAATGATTTTAACTTGATTAAGGACGAAAATCGGCTCGGTCACATTGCCTCTAGTGAGTTAAGAACGTCGCCCATTACTTCTGCCTATATTCAGGTTATTTTTTCTGGTTAAAGATTCATAAATCTTCCTTTACTTGAGCATCCGTACCTTGTTTCTTCAATTTACCAGTAACCACTACAATGTTGATAAGAAGCCTCTTATTCGAATTTTACGGTGCTTAAGCTCATATGATTTCTGTATCAGAGTCAGGTAATCTTTAGTCCGGTCAGCAGTTCGAGTACAGAGTAGGTGTCGACCATGCGATCGCCACGGTCGATACTTATTATTACTTCACACTCGAACTGCGAACCTACTGTATAATCCAACCGTTATGTTCGTTTGGCTACCGGAGATAATTAGGCTGCTATTTCAATCTCGTGGCATGTACACTCCTCTTCTTTCATCGCTGTTTTTATAGTGCTTGATAGTGATGATAGAGTCTATTTCTCTTTTAGCAAGTCCCATCAATGCAAACTCCCCCTGCAAGACGAGCGCCGCCAGTATTTCGAGCAATCCCGGACAAGGAACCAGTTGTCAGACTTGAAAAGTCCAACATCTTGCTTATTGGTCCATCAGGAGTCGGCAAGACTTTCCTCACCCAAACTTTGGCAAGGTAAGCCTTTGAACTGTACACATTGGGATCTTCACTATTTTAATTTCATGCGATTTCTCCACTTCTCGGTTGTTCTGTGTTCATTAGCAGAATTTAGCACACTACCGATCGCGCGCATTTTCACACCTAGAACTGGCACGAATTAGCGGGCGTGGCTGCCTCATCTCACATTCGTGGAGTAAGTGGTTAACACAAAAAACACGAGCGCCATAAAATCATGCTGTAAAAATTCAATGCATAGAAGTCATCCTGAGTATCTCAGTAGAATTTTGACCTAATCGCAGCAAAAAAAAAACGAAGTTCCATACCCTTCGCCTCGAGAATTTGTTTAGTTCTCGTTGCAGACAAGCCTTTTTGCCCTGATCGTTTCGGTCAGGACGCATATGTTGCCATTCATTGCGTTCTATATTCACTTCTTATGCCCTTTTTACCACCTTTTTACCCTTTTTTTCATGAAGCTTATTGAACCCTTGATCATTCAAAGCATAACTTACTATTTTGTAAACCACGCCGTTTGTTGTCGTATTGGGGTACGATCTAT